AGACAAAGAGGTTGCCGTCGGGAAGGAGGTTGACAAAGGGGTAGAGATTGTTCTCACGCCCAGCATCGTCGTCCGTGTCCTCGAGAAGGGGCAGCTCCATCAGCTGTGGGGTGAAGTTGAGGGTGTCCGGAGGAATGATCTCGTAGCTGTATGCGTTGCGGCCACCCACCAGAGCGAAGCTGCCATTGTCGAGAGCCACCTGGGTTGCGTACCAGCGGTTGGAGTAGAGGGCTCTTGGGTTCTCTTGGAAATTACAGTTTTTGCAATGCTTCAATAATCGGACCGACTGGAAGCCGGCTTTATCTCCACCTGTAGAGACAAGGTCTCCATTTTTGTTTAGGCCTCCGGATGAACACCAGGGACTGGTTTCCAGCTGCACCAGACGCGAAGCATACATTATGCATGTATACTTGTACATATCATTGAGTCACTCATCTAATAGTGGTTGATAAATATGTATTAAATATTTTCACTCACATTCTATATATTCCATAAACAACATCAAATTTCATAATTAAGAGTATAAATTAATAATTACTATTCTTACCAAGTTGTAATTACATCACATAAGTCGAAACAACCACACATTAATATCGTTATTTTAAATTAATGGGAACTACTGTAGTCCTGTTGATGGAATGGTTCCGTCAATGTTGGTTACCGTAGATTATCCACACAAGATAATCTTTATGTGTATCCAATGGTGTAAAACACTGACGGTACCATCCCGTAACGGCACCTTAGAATTTTCCTAAATTAATAGCCTCGTCAAATGGCTATAATTATGGCATTTTGGAAATTCATTTAATTTCTTTTGTTTAAAAAAATAAATATTGAGATTAATGAGAAAGAAGTGGATAAATTTAGATAGGTAGACCATTTTGGATGTTTGTAATTGATCCAAATCGCGTAGTACCGAAGGATATTTGTATTTAATCATTGTTTATTTGTTTGCATATAAAGAATCAATTATATTAGCCTAATCATTTAATTTAAAGCTTACATACATACATAAATAATAATACAATCTATAAATGATAAAAAAAAAGGGGTATGTAGCAAAGCAAAGCAAACCTTTAGGGTTCTAATTTGAGCTGTCTCGACGTCATATTCAATGGCATGAGCAGTGCAATCCTGTTGAGGATCTGTGGGTCTGCCTCCTACTCGGGGTGCACATGAGGGTGGGTTCAGCGTGATTTCCGATAACCCATTGCTCGTAGAGTCGTACATAATGGCCTTCCCATTGGGCAATAGTTGTATGTGCATGGCAGCAACGCCGGCATTTTGGGAATGAATCTTCCAATAGCCTAAGGATTTGGTGGTGGATCCTTGTTCGTATTCGGGAGGGATCTCTTCTCCTCCACCATCTCCTGGCTGATTCGGTTGTTGCTTCCCGAAAATTGATCCAAAATGGAATCTGTCAAAGAAACCGAAACCATCATCATCATCATTCCCGTTCGAAATTGGAGCAGATGGTGGGGTTAACATATCTCCATAATGGTTAACGGCTGAGGGCCTCGATTTCGTGCTTGTCACATAGCCAGTGAGGAGGAGAGAGAGGACCACAAGAGATTTCAAAAAGTTATCAATTGAAGAAGAAAAAATCTTCATTATTATTGTTTCTTCGTCTCTTGCTGTATTATTCGTCTTCTACATTCATACTTTTATATTGAGGGTCCATGTTAGGGTTAAAAATGAAAAATCAATAAATGGATGGTTGCCCTTTTTCTTCTCAATAACTTAAAAGTGCTCCCATCTTATAACAAGAAGAAATAGACAAATATGATTTTTAATTTGTGTGGACAATTTCAAGATGAGATTTTGTTAGGGAAGGTGTAAATTGTTTACAACAGTTATATAAATGGGCCAAGGATGATTTATTACCCAAAAAAACAAAATGATGAGAGAAACACCGACTTAAGCGGGAAAAACCAACAGTTGGCGACAAATGTATTTGTGGTGAAGAATGTAAAAACACCTCCATTGATTTGGAGATGTTCAACAACAAAGGCATAATTACATAATTACCTTTTGTGCAACTAAGGGTTGTCACTTACAGGGGAACAACCAGGATTCTAAATTAGGACGATCTATTAAAATGTTTTTATTTTTTTCAACAACAAACAAAAACTTGTATAAATTCAAAGGGGGTGTCTATATGTACACCCCCTTGTGTGTAAAAAAGGGGTGTACATATAGCATTGCCCTTTGTGTAATTTATTAAAAAGGGGTGTACATATAGCATTGCCCAATTCAAATCGAAGTACGAGGACCCAACTATGTACAAAGCAAAAGCTCCAACTCCTAAGAAAGCGTGGGAATTGTTCCAAATAACCTTTCCTACAAACTTATCTATATATATATAAAAAGAATTACCATTTTTTAAAAATAGTAAGTCAAATCTTTGTCAAAATTTTATCTGCATTAATTATATACTATTTATAGTAGTTTTTATTTTTTATTTTTAAATAAAATCATGGAGCATTTAATGTTGCCCTTGAATGGTGGAAGTTGTTATCTTTTTATGGCACACAAAATTCGGCCAATATATTTTTTGCATAACAGTTTGATGGAGAGATAAATGCATAAATCAAAACACATTTAAAAAGATTATCGATTAATTTGTATCTTATTCTGGCGGATAGGTACACATATAAAATAAAATAAAAAATTGATGTATGAAAAGATAGTTTTATAAATATAATATTTGTATGTAAATTAAAAATTTATGAATTTCTTAACTATTACATTCACCTCATAAATTAATCCAAAACTAAACGTGAGATTTATTTTTAACAATAATACATATATTTATTTTTAACTATATACACGTAAAATTTATTTAATATTATCTACCGGTGCATCGCACGGGATACACACTAGTTTGTTTAAATGACCCTCTAGTCAAATACTCTTTTAAAATTTAATAAGTAATGATATTAAATATGAATTTACTGTTATACCCTTAAGGCGAACATTATTTTCTTCTTCTTCCTCCTCCCATTCTCCCTCATTTTTTCCTGCGGTTTCTCCTCTCTCTCTCTCTCTCTCTCTCTCTCTCTCTCTCTCTCTCTCTCTCTCNNTTTGTTTAAATGACCCTCTAAGTCAAACACTCTTTTAAAATTTAATAAGTAATGATATTAAATATGAATTTACTGTTATACCCTTAAGGCAAACATTATTTTCTTCTTCTTTCTTCTCCCATTCTCCCTCATTTTTTCCTGTGGTTTCTCCTCTCTCTCTCTCTCTCTCTCTCTCTCTCTCGACCACTCTCTGTTCTCTCTCGATCTCTCTCGCAGCAAACTTGCTCTCTCGACCCTCCTTCTCGCGCCGGTCACTATAGAACTATCTCTTACTGTCAATTTTGGTAGAAATTCTTGTTTAGGGTACAAGGTTTTTTTTTCCAGTTTTTTTTTTTTTT